AAACGGAGAGAGCCGGCTGATACCACCCTAACCTGGGATGGCACCCATTAAAAACCTGAGACCCCAGATGTTTGTGTTCCTGTTATAATTCCAGTTTGCAGGAATTACAGGCAACAGGAGAGTGAAAGAAAAGGTGCCACAAGCAAGTAACCGGACAAACCCAGAATGTGTGCGCCATTCCACAAACCAGCTAACCCAGTCTCTCCAAGAAGTCAGTGTCATGAAAAGCAAAGCTGGGCAGGAGAGGGCCAGGGACAGGCAAAGAGCCCCAGAAGACAACGTGAAGGCATCACCTGTACTGAATTCAGATTTGAACAATAGCGATAAAAGACAATTTGACAACTTCCATGTCGACCGAGGGAAGGAACCAGAGAAGGGGAAGGATGGAGAACCTGGAGGAGAGAGAGAATGGATGGAGAAGGCTCCTGCCCAAATGGGACTCTTTTGGAGAGGAAGGTGGATGCGGGAAGTTGAGGGAACCCCACCTATTTTCTCAGGGACAGAAGAAAGCGAAGCTGCCTCTGACACGGAGGAAGCCAGGAAGCCAATATGGGAGGGGATTGGATGGAAAAGAAAGGAAGGTTTGCAGAGACCACTGAGAAGGTGAGTGAGGGCAGTGGCCAAAAAAAAAAAAAAAAAAAAAGAAAAAGAACTAAGGAGCCACCCTGAAAGCCTAAATTAAATTTTGCAGAGGCCCAGACCCACATGTCTTATGGTTTTCAGAGGCACTTCTCTGAACCGGGTCATTCGGGTGGGGAGGGCAGTGTGGCCGAGGGGCAGGGAAGCAAGGACAGGTGGAAAGCAATGGCTCCCACCTGGTCCAGGATGGGAGTCAAAGAAAGGGAGCACCAGGGGCAGCTGAACCCGGGCGAGAAAAAGGCATCTTGGAGGTGAGGTCTGGAGGGGACTGGTGGGAAGGCGAGATGGGAAGGACGGGACACAGGCAAGTCCCAGCGGGAAATCTGTTTTCCCAGAGGGCGATGACTCCCAGCTCCTGCATCCCTCCAGTGCCAGGAAGGAAGCCACCCTTCCCTGCAGGACCTCTGCGTGCCTGATCCAAGGTGGTGGTTCAGCGAGAACGCAAACGCCTGTGTGCCATTGACGTTGGGCTGCTGAGAGCTGAAAGTGCGGTTTTATTTTTGTTTTTATTTATTTGGGAAAGAGAGAGTGAGCCAGAGAAAGAGCACAAGCAGGGGAAGGGGCAGGGGCAGAGGGAGAACCAGGCTCCCCACTGAGCAAGGAGCCAGACTGGGGCTCAATCTCGGGACCCTGAGATCATGACCTGAGCCGAAGGCAGGTGCTTAACAGACTGAGCCACACAGATGCCCCTGAAGGTGCAGTTAAAAAAAAACTCGGGTAAAATTTACAAAACCTAAAGTTAACCCTCTTAAAGTGCACAATTCCGTGGCCTTTAATACATTCACATTTTGCAGTGAAAGCATTTTATCATCCCCAAAGGAGCCCTAGTAGCCACTAAGCAGTCACCCCCACTGCCCGCTTCCCCAGCCCCAGGCAATCACTCTTCTGCTTTCCGACCTGTGGATTGACCGAGACAGGACGCTCATCTAAATGGAATCACACACCATGTGACTTTTGGGCTGTTTCCATCTTTTGGCTGTGGCAGATGGTGTTTCTGTGAGCATTTGTGTCCTGTATTTGTCTGAGTACCTGTTTTCAGTTCTTGGGGGTCTATACCTAGGAAGACTTGCTGAGTCCTCTAGTAATTCTGTTTAACTTTGAGGAAACACTTACCTGTTTTCCACGGTACCCACATCATTTTACTTTTGACTAGCAATGTACGAGGGCTTTGATTTCTACACATTCTTGCGAACATTTGTCTTTTACAGTGTTTTTGTTTTTGTTTTGTTTTGTTTTTTTCTTAAAGATTTTATTTATTTATTTAACAGAGTAGGCAGAGTAGCAGGCAGAAGGAGATGGAAAAGCAGGCTCTCTGCTGAGCAGTGAGCGCAACTCGGGACTCGATCCCAGGACGCTGGGATCATGACCCGAGTGAAGGCAGTCGCTTTACTGACTGAGCCACCCGGGCGCCCTTTGTTTTGTTTTTAATGGTCATCCCCAGGCTGTGAGGTGGTAGCCCATGGTTTCGGCTTGTATTTCCCTAACGATTAGTGATGTTGAGCGTCTTTTCATGTGTGTCTTGGCCATCTGCGGATCGCCGTTGGAGAAAGGTCTATTCAAACCCTCGGCCATTTTTTAATTGGGTTGTCTTTCTGTTGTTGAGTTGTAAGAATTTCTCATACATTCTGGTTGTTGGACCCTTATCAGGTATATGATCGGTAAATATTTTCTCCCACTCTGTGGCTGTCTTTTCCCTTTCTCAGTAGTATCATTGGATGCGCAAAAGTTTTTAATTTGATGAAGTCTGCTGGTCTATTTTTTCTTTTTTGTTGTTTCTGCTTTTGATGTTGTACCTAAGCATCCACTGCCAGATTCTGGATCATGAACACAGAATCCCTTAGTTTCTTCGAAGGGCTCTGTAGTTTCAGCTCTTACATTTAGGTCTTTGTTTATTTTGAGTTAATTATCGTATATGTTGTGATGTAGGGACCAAAGTGCGAACTGTAATCTATGAATCTTCTTAAGAGTTTACTGTTTGTATACATGAGGCTAACACATTGGATCGGTCATGTAGGGGACCTTGGCACTTGCAGATTTAATATTTTCAGTTTATCATCTGGGAGTGATCTCAAAAGGTCAAGACACATGGTCACTTCCCTGTCCCTGAGCCACACATATGGACCCATCAGGCAATGAAGCAGGTGAACACAGGCAAATCCCTGAACAAGTAAAGTGAGCTTAGCTGGCCCTGGCTCCCATCGTCTCAGATTTTCCTGGCACTCATCATCCTCCAAAATCCCGGTATTCTCCTTAAGGGCTTGAAAACATCACTTACATTTCAAAAATCACACTTTACTGCATGCAACGCGCAGGATTAGTGTTAGCAAATTTGGATTTTGTGACAAGTCTCAACACAACGTCATCCTTATGGTGATCAAGTACAAGCTGGACGAACACCTCTGAGAGGTGAAGAAAGGAAGAAAGGAAGGGAGGGAGGAACCCTGCACAGGTTTAAGGCTGCTGTGCTTCAGCGGTCCCCAAATCTGCTGCTAGCATCGCGTGGGAAGCTTCCTTTTCTCTTTCTTTCTCTTTCCCCCTCCTTCCGTGTCTTTCTGTTAATTTCCTAGCAGCAAAACCCTTTATCCAAACCAAAGGTTGCAAACCTCCAGACAGGACCCTTCTAGTCCTCCTCCAGGGTCCTCCTTTGCCCCCATGAGGCCTCGAAGCCCCACGAAAACCAGTTGAAACTCCTAGGCTAGACTCTATAGGATGACATCAAGCACCGGCAGGCTAGCTGTTCTAAGGTGACGAGGAGCAGAGGAACCCCGTTCTCGCAGAGGCTTGTGGAGGTCCCAGGCTTTGAGAGCGGGGAAAAGCATCTGGATGAGGGGTGCCGCCGGCACAAGCTGCCTCCCAAGCTGGACTTTGACTCTATTGTAATGATGTGACTTCACTTATCGCCTGTCCTTATGTAACCTTCATTGCATGCAGCACCAGAATCATGAGCTGACTCACTCCGCGGATGAGGCAGGGACTTGCTGTCATGGGGAATCTAGGAAATTTGCGAGGCTGGAGCTAAGAAAACAGCCACCCCGGGCCGGGTCTGGCTGTGGGGAAGGGTAGCTGGGGCAGCCGCCTGCTTCCGCGTCCGCCCTGGGGAGAGGCCCTCTGGATACATGATGACTGGCTTATTCTCCGTTCACACGTTCTCTCCTAGACTAGCGTTATCTTAAACAGGACAAATGAAACAGTATCAGAAGCTGTTGCCAGGGCAACCTGACAAAAGTCTTCACCCTCTGCTACTGTACGTGTAATTTGTCAAAGGCAGCAGGCTTCTAGGGAGAGGAAAGGGAAGGCCATAGTTGCTACTTTGGGGCCCAGAAATGAAAATTAAAATTTAAAGACTATCTTCTGGTGAACTCAGCTCAGGTAGGACAGGAAAGCAGCTGTGATCTGTGCAATAAAAATTCAGAAAAGCCAGGCTGGGAAGCCAGGCGAAGAGGGCACACACCTTTGCCTTGTCTTTTGTGATAGCTGTAAAATGGTTGCCTATCAGGGCTTTTAAGGAGAAGCCGCTGGAAGGCCTGGAGCTGAAAGTATGCCCTGAAGGGGAGGGAGGAGGACCAAGAGCGAGACATTGAAGAAAGCCATCGGGATATTCCAGGATATATAGATAAATACAAAGTGGGGAGTGTTTGACACATCACATTTGATATCCCCCCAAACCACAACCTCTCACGACAGCAGCCCCTTTACAGGGAACAGCATTACAGAGCTTGGACCAACTTCAGTCGGCTCACGGTATGGATGGAAAGACGGGTCCATAAAAGATAGCCCACTCCAGGTCACCAGCGGGACAAGGGCAGAACTGAGCCAGAAGTCCCGTTTCCGGCTTCCCCGTGATCTTCCCACTTACCTGATGCCTCTGTCCGACAGCTTTCAAAGTGGGGCCCATGGAGTCAGGGGCCATGCTGTGAGGGCAAGGGACACCCCCTGCCCTCAAAGGAATGGCTCCCTTTCCATCTACTTTTATATCCATTGGAGCTCCACTTAAAATTATTTCAGGGGAAAAAAATCCAAGACCAGAAAATGTTTGAAGATCGCCAGTCTAAAGATACACACAGTAGATGTGGCCGTGGTTGCACAACCTTGTGAACATGTTAAAAACCACAGAATCACATGCTTTACTATGTGAACTTTGTCTTTAACATTTATTCTGTTTATTCTATATTTATTTAAATTAAAAGACCAAATAGCCCTTAATTCACGCAAAGAGGGACACGAAGGTAAGAGGTGAGTTATACTTAGGGTCAGAAACCAAATAGGAATGGATTATTGCAAGACGTCCAGAGGTCCTCCAGGAACCACCCCCCCACCGTCCTCCCTAATCCCCACTCCCCACCCCGCCACTGGCTCCTTACCGAGTTGGTGCCGAGGATCTGCAGGTTGGGCTTCTCTGACTCCAGCAGCTTGGCCACCATCTTGAGGAAACTCTCCACGAAGAGGTTGATGCTCTGGCAATGGCAGGCCATGAGCAATTGGTCCAGCGCCTCCATGGCGATGCACACATACCTGGGGAAAGGAGCACCGTCACTGGGTTTCACGCCCGTCCCACCCTCATTGCATGACTGGGACAATCAGCACAGTGACCCCCTGGCCAGCATCTGGGTAATGAGGCTCTTCCAATAGGATGCTAATGTCTGGACAGCCATTCCAGCTAGTGCCCACTGCAGCCCAGCACCAAGAATCAGCAGGAACCAGCCCCGGAAGGGAGCCTGGAGACCAGCTCTCCCTAGCTGCTCATTCTACAGATGAAGAACGTAAGGACAGACAAAATGTACCATCTCATAAGTCGATACAAGCAGAAAGAATTGATGCTCAGAAGAGCAAATTCTGAACCCAAACCCAATGAGATCAAAGAATTACTCGATCTGAAGTCAAGAAGTACTTGTTGGGCACCCACAGGGGAAGCACTCTGTCTTAGTGCAGGGGTATAGGGGGGAAAAGTCCTTCAACTCGAGGAGCCTGGAGTTAGATGGACAAGATATCTCCTGTAAAGGGAAGATAAGAAATGCTACAAGAAAATCATGCAGGAAATTCCACAGAGTTCCAAAGGAGAGCGATGACTCTAATGGGGAGGAAGAGAAGAACTTTAGGAAGAATGTTTATGAAGAATCTGAGATGGGCCTGAAGACCAGTCAACTGTGAAGGTTAAAGAGTATAAAACCTGCAGATATTGCATTTGAAGACCTCAGAAGTCCTTTGATCATCACATAATATGGTTGCTGGTATTACCATATTTAGGTGACACATTCCCTACTTAGAGAGCATCTGTACCTCACGGAGGATAAGATACACAAGGAACAAAATTATTATTTTTCCTAACAAAGATGATTCTGAGGCCCAAACTTCTTATTCCTTCTAAAGTCTAAAACCTGAATACCTTCAGAAACCGGAAATACACAGCACCCAATGATGAACGTACTAGGTAGGTCAGCCCATCCCATTTCTTGACAACTACATAAAAACGTCTTCATATTTCAAGCTATTTCAAGCTTCATATTTCTACCTGCCCGCCCTTCAACCACTTGAAAAGAGCAATCCCATTTTTCTTGCTCTTTTCTTCTCCACGCTAAAAATACCCAATCCTTCCCAAACTAGCCTTCACAGGACAACCCCTGATGATCCTGGCTGGTGGCTATCCCCTTCAACGCCTCTCTTGAACCCCAAGAAAAAAATACCACGAATCAAATTCCTCCTGAGAATTAGGAGGGCACGTCTGAGCCCAAACCTGACGTGTGTTCCACGGTGGCCACACGAGCGTGTGGTCGGTTAAGTTACATCATGAAGGGCACATGCCTAACTTATAAGTCACTGCACACTACAGAAAACAGAGGAGGGGCACCTCGGTTGAGCATCTGACTCTTGATTTTGCTTAGCTCAGGATCTCAGGGTTGTGAGATCGAGCTCTGCATTGGGCTCCATGCTGGGTGTGGAGCCTGCTTAAGATTCTCTCTCTCCCTCTGTCTCTGTCCCTCCCCCCACTCTCTCTCTAAAAATAAAAAAAAAAATGAAGAAAGAAAAAGGAAACAGAGTAGACTTTCATTACAAAAGGTCATCGTTCACCTTCTAATGAAGAAGCTGCTGCAAATCGTCCAGTATCATTCTAGTTGAAATCTTTATAATTTTTTCTAGGGAGTCAGGTTTCTGAGGCAGAACGCTAGACATTGCCCCGGAATCTCTTTACCCCTTTTTCCCTTATAATTTGGAATTTTAGCAGAGCTTGTGGGGCTCACGAGGATCAGTTCCCAGCCCCTCTTGCTGCTAGCTGAGGCCATGTGACGAAAATGTTGCCATTAAAATGAGGGAAAGCATTTGCGACAATGTGGATGGAACTAGAGGGTATTATGCTGAGCGAAATAAATAAATCAGAGAAAGACTATACGATCTTCTTGATATGAGGAATTTGAGAGGCAACATAGGGGGCTTGGTGGGTAGGGAGGAAAAAAATGAAACAAGATGGGATGAGAGGGAGACAAGACATAAGAGACTCTTAATTTCACAAAACAAACTGAGGGTTGCCGGGGAGAGGAGGGTAGGGAGAGGGTGGCTGGGTTATGGACACTGGGGAAGGTATGTGCTACGGTGAATGCTGTGAAGTGTGTAAACCTGGCGATTCACAGACCTGCACCCCTGGGGCTAATAATACATTATATGTTAATTACAAAAAAAAAATGAGGGAAATCGAGGTGAACAATGTCAGCATCACTGGCTTAGAAGACAGGCTTGGCCCCTCCCCTCCTCCCTTCCTCCTGGGACTGAGGAGTGGCAGCCACTGGAGTCCCAAGCACTGGAGTCCCCGGACGATCCCCCCCCGCCCCCCGCCCAACATTGTGAGGCTGGACAGTCACCCAAGAGAGAGCAAAACCCCTTGCAAAACCCCGAAATGCTGGAGCCACTGTATTTTTACACAAAGAACACAGATACCTAATACTCAGGTCTAGGAGCACTTCGGAGACCCAGTGGTGCAAATAAAAGTGAATCCTGAGCAGTCCAAGGCAAATCAGTGACCAACCTCCCAGGAAGGAGGAGAGCTGGAAGGGCTTGGAGCCTGTGACGGGGAGGTCATCACAAGACTCCGCAGACTCATGAGTGGACCCACGTGCCCGGGGTGTCAGTCCTTCTACTTGTTAATTCAAACCACGTGGACTAGAAGAGTCCTTCCTGATACACGGAAATGCAGGACAGGTCAAGTGGGCAGAGAACCCCAAACCTAACGGAGGTGTGGAGGAATCAGGTTAGTGCCTCCAAGTCAAAAGCAAGGAGCAAAAGACCTGTCTTAAAGATTCCGGTAGAGCTGTCAGCACAAGCTTCTGGAGTGTGAAAGCTGCCTCATACTCGAGAGCCAGGCTCGTATGCCAGACATAGAATCAAGAATGAATTTAGAGATCTGTTCTCCCTTATGCCTCGGTCCCAATCATACCCATCTTTGAATGTTAGGCAAGTATTTTAAAAGACTTTGATTAGCGAGCTGCTTATCTTCTTTTTTTAAAACCAAGTTTGGTGAAATACAAAGAACTAGATAAAAAGTATGACTATAATGTATTTCTGGGGTCCCACGAGGCCATAACACAAGGCTGCACGATGACTCTTGGAGCAGCTCTTTGGTTTCAGACGCGTGTCCCAACCGCCTCACACAGGATCCGGCCTTGCAAATCCAAACCTATAAAGTAATGGCCATCATGGTGTCTGTTTCCTTAATGATCTTCTTTTTTTTTTTTTAAAGACATCAGATACCATTTCTTAAGTGCTCTTGGGCTAACCTTTGTACTGAGCAATTATAAGAAAAGCAGCTTCCCTACCCTGAAATTTTCCTGCCCATTTTCAAAATGTTTGGTGAACTGAGTCCACTATTATTAAATTATTACTTAATATTATTAAACACTATTAAATAGTCATCACTGGGCATGTTTACAAGTGGAACAGGTCATGCTCTTGTCTACAGAATGGCTTTCAGAGAGAAGGCCAGCCCTGGGTCTCTGAGCTCCTGGAGCAAACGGGAGTCCCCAGTCCCTGCTGGGGGGGGTGGGGGGGGGACACAGTGCTGTCCATTCCTGGTTCACGACAGCCTTGCTCTTCAGATGCCATCACTGTCACAGTCCAGGAAACCTGTGATGCCTTGCAGACAGTCCCCATGTGTTTCAGGTCGGCTGCGCTGGCCAGTGAGGCAGACTGAGTCATGTATTGGGGAAGAGGCCTGGCTGGGGCCCTTCTAAAGGAGACACACTTTCCTTGCATAAAAACCAGGCCCCATCTGGGCAACCAAACATGGCAGGTGGGAAACGGGGGCAGCGAGGGTAGAATTCTCTTCTCTCACGAATCATCACCAGCATCTTATGTACGAAGGGCTTCACCCTTAGTTCACAGAGCTTAGACGAGGGAAAGGAAGAGGCAGGGTGGGGTTTGGCAAGAGAAGAAACTAGAAGGCTTCCCAGATTCCAGAGCTTAGATCGCTGCTTTTCCTTTTCCTGTAAAAAATTACCAGAAAACCCTAAGAAGGAAAAAATAGTCCTTTGCTAACAAAACGATTGAATGAATGAGAAAATAAAATAACAAGCAATTGGCTACTAATCCAGAGTGGAAACTCTGATGGGAAGTGAAAATTATGGTAGAAAGAGAAACTGAAAAGTGCAGAAGTTTAAAGCCTAGTTCTTTGAACATGCTCTGCTTTGTTCCCCATGTTGAGCCCCGATACGAAGGATGGAAAGGTTGTAATTACGAGCTTGAATTTTTCCAAGTATCTCAAAAGATTAGCTCTCGAATCTCTACCTTCCCCGGGAGGTCTTGTAGTGGGGTCCGCACTGTCAAGGAGAATAGAGTGTCCTGGAAGGAGTCCGGTGTAGTTATGGGTCTGGGAGACTGAGCTGGCCTGAGTGCTAGGAGCTGGATGAGGCCGGACGGAGCTGGTGAGGACTAACACGCCACAGGGCCTGGGGGGGAAGGACAAGAGTGGGTATAGATGACAGCAGGTGACAACGAAGGGTGCTGGATATACTGGTAAGGCTCCCCAGCATGTGAGGAAGGCAGAACCCAAGGAACCTGGGAGAGAATTGGGTTTGTGGGCAGCAACTGAAATCGGGAGAAGACACTTGACAGGCTATGACAGGAACTCAGCGACAATGGCCAATGCAGGAGGTAAGTCATAACAACTGAGGAAAATACACAGGAGATGAGGCAAGACGTGTCTCCTGTTGAAGTCTAGAAGAGGCAGCCCGTTCTGTTTGAACACATTGAGCTCGGTCAAGAGGCCCTGAACCCGAGGAAAAGAGGAGCGGGTGTAAAGAGTCTGGGAAGAGTGGGGGGCCGGGGTGGGGGTTGGAGAGGAAAGGCAAAGTCAGAGATGAAGACAGGCAGGCAGGAGAGAGGGGACAGCTTTAGCAAGGCCAGTCACTGCTTGAGAATCACTCAAAGGTCAGTCGCCTTGACAAAAAACCTCTTATTCTAAGCAGTTGGAATGTACTCGGTCAGTCCCACTCCAGTACAGAAATTTCTGGGTTTTAGGAACTCAGATGTAGGGGCTGACCTCAGCAGAGGGAGGGAAGCATGAACCCCCTCTCCAGGTTCTAGGGCTGTTCTAGCTGTAGAACAGCCCTTCTAGGGCTGGAAGGAACATGCACAAAGAAAGAGAAAAACGGGAGGAAATCTCACTTTTTGCCGCTCTGCACGTCTCTGCCCGTCATAGCTCAGGTCAGTGAGCTCTACCTCAGAATTCACAGCCTAGCCTCTCTCCGCCCACATTTGGTCATCATTCCTGATGCTGAACACAGATAAAGGTAGAATTCACACCCACTGGAGTGGGGTGATAAGGCCGGGAGGCGGGGCGGGGGGGGGGGCTTGCCCAGAGAGGATGGTTCTGCGCCTGAGGCCAACCCCCGAGGTTCACGTCCATGTAGTTAAACCATAAATACAGACACCTGCATGATCACAGGGAGACACAGCCCTCAGACCGTCTGTAGGTGAATATTTGCGCTCCCAAAACTGCCATCAGGAAGCTACTACTAATGACAAGGAAGACGAGAACGATGTACATAGCACCGGGCTGGGCAAGATAGGGCGGACAGGGAGGGAGAACGGGAGATCAAATCTAACGGATTTCTCTTCTCCAAATGTTTACGATTAAAACTTCCAGTGAGGCCTTCAAGGCTTTAAATACTGAGAGGCTGCCACGACTATTTTTAACAGAAGGATACCGATTTCGAATTGCAGTTCTAAGGGCAGTGGAATGACTCTAATTGGCTCTGCTGGCTATAGGACATTTTTATCGAGAGAACCATCCCTGCAGAGAGGGCAGATGAAATTAGTATTAAATGTTTAATGTTACTGCTAGCATATCCGTTTTCGGTTGAATCTAGGACGAAGTCATTTTTACATGCTTGGGCATGCTTTACCATATGTCAGGGCGATTTACGTAATCAGCACGTAGAGTGTATTTGTGCCCTTTTTATTGAGCATGTAACCTAATTTTATTTTATAAAACGATGATGGAAATGTACTGTTTCTGGTCTTGCTGTCACTCCTAGGGATAGCTTGATTCTGGATTCGTGAGTGGGTCCTGCAGAGCTTGGAGGTCTACACTCTGTCAGCACAAGGCAAATGTTTTCACGCCAGCATTCACTCCGGCTTCCCCGCCAGGAGGAAGGGAGCTTGGCAGGTGGTTGGGCTGATGGGTGGTGGTGGGGGCCCATGACTGGGGTCGAGGGGAGAGAGCACTGCTGCAGAGGCGTGAGGCTCAGAGAGCCGGGCATGGCTGGAGTGTGGGTCTGAGCAGGCAAGGCAGGTGTGGCAGGCATGGCTGGGGGAGCCTGGTGAGTTAGGGGCAGGTTGTAGAAGTCAAGCTGGGGAGTCTGCATTTTATTCTAAAGGAGCCAGGTCCGTGTTCTGAAGGTCATAGCTAGTACTCATTTGGAAGGACCAGAACAGGAGAGAGAATGCAGGAAGAGAATTGCTAATGTTACCATGATCTGGAGTCTGCAGCAGGAGAAAGGAAGAAGCAGAGGAAAGCAGAGCATGGATGTATGGAGAACGGAAGCAACAGGGACTTCAGAACAATTGCGCTAGATTTACCCCGCCCTCCAAACCATCAGCAATGCCACCAGGGATGTCTTCGGGTTTTCTTACATTCAGCTTTTGCACACACAAAACCCAACCGCACTGCTCAGAAAATGAGCCCTCGTAGCATTTACAGCATATTTGTTTTTACTTTATTTTCTAGGCATTGGTATTTGTTGCTTATTTTTTTTTTAAGATTTTTATTTATTTATTTGGGAGAGAGGCAGTGAGAGAGAGCGTGAGCGAGGAGAAGGTCAGAGGGAGAAGCAGACTCCCCGCGTTGCTGGGAGCCCGATGCAGGACTCGATCCCGGGACTCCGGGATCATGACCTGAGCAGAAAGCAGTCGTCCAACAAACTGAGCCACCCAGGCGTCCCTGTTGCTTATTTTTAAACTTAATTGTAAAACACTGCATTTGCAATTACATAGTCTGTTTTTCATTTACTTAAGGCATTTTCATTATTATGGGGAAAGCATGTTTATAAATCATTTCTATTGAATAGATAATATTTCACCAAGTGAGACACATTATAATTCACTAAACCCTTTTCCTCTTATTGGACATTAATTTCCAATATTTCATTATTATAAAAAACACCACAATGAACATCTCTGTGTGTAAAGCTAGTTTATATTTAAGATTGATTTCTTGGGATAGAAGAATAGACAAAGAATTTACCGGATCAAAGGGCATACATGTTTTTTGAATACTTGACTTATATTTTAAAATTATGGTCTAGGGGGCGCCTGGGTGTCTCAGTGGGTTAAGCCTCTGCCTTCATCTCAGGTCATGATCTCAGGGTCCTGGGATCGAGCCCCACAACGGGCTCTCTGCTCAGCAGGGAGCCTGCTTCCCCTCCTCTCTCTGCCTGCCTCTGCCTGCTTGTGATCTCTCTCTCTGTCAAATAAATAAATAAAATCTTTTAAAAAAATTATGGTCTAAAAAGGTTCAATCAATTTGCACTTATTCTAGAAAAGTACAAAACTACCTCTCACGTTGCCATTCCTTGGTTAGTACTGGAAATACTTTTTTATCAGTTTGCTAAGTGAAAATGATATCTTAGTGCTTCAAGCCACATCTTTGATTATAAGTTTATTGACCATTATTATTTCTCCTTCCTCTTTCTGTGAGTTGGTTACTTGGAGCCCTGGTTTCAGTTTTTAGTGACTCAGTTTCCCCACTCCAGCCCCACCATTGGTTTATACAAATAATAGACGAGTTTGAATCCTTTGTCTTACTCTTTCAAAACACTTCTTTTGGTTGTCGTTTAAAATTTGGTGGTTTCTTTTTTTACATCAAAATATTTAAATTTTTAAACAGTTAAATCTATCTATCAGTCATTTTCATTTAAGGTTTCTTTTCTTTACTAAACATAGCAAGTCCTTCCCTCTCAGATTGATAAATATTTCATTTAAGTGTATTTTTAATGGACAAATTACCACTAACCTTGCCTTCTCACTAGAATGTAGATGGCTCCTCCCTGCTTTTTTTTTTAATATTTAATATTTATTGTTTGATATATATTTTTTTTTAATTAGAGATTGGGGGTGGGTGGGGCAGAGGGAGAGGGAGAGAGAGAGAATCCCAGGCAGGTGCCATGTCCAGCATGGAGCCCAACATGAGGCTTGATCTCACAACCATGAGATCATGACCTGAGCCGATATCAAGAATCAGACACCCGCCGCGCTTCCCTGCTTTTTAAGACTGTAACTTGCTTGGTTTGATGAGGATAATGGCAGAGTTAGGACTAGACCAACTTTTCAAGGTCCTAGAGTGTGGGTGAGGGCTTCTGGATAGAGACAAAAGGGGAAAATGGATGCTAACAGAGGTGATCCTAAGAAGCCAACATCCCCTTCTTCCCACATCTTGGCAATGGCATCAGATTTGCCATTGGAAAAACACATGCAAACCTCCCTCAGGCCCAGTCCCTGTTTTTCCAGTCTGTTCAGTGACCAAGTCTACTATGATTTTCATAAAAGGACCCTATGTTTTGTCCTATGCTTCTGAAAGCATCTCTCTCACTTTCTCACACTCTTACCCGTATCGATGACGACCCACATCACGGATGAGCCTCTCGGAGAGATAGGAGCCGATTCGGTCCAGCTTCTCTGGAGCTGAGAGGGCATAGAAAGTCAGCTTCTCCATGTTGGTCTTCACCAGGCCATCCTGTAAAAGACAGGACCTCATGTCTCACCGTGACCATTCCATGGCTAGAAGGGTTCAAGTCTAAAGGTAAATAAGATGTTGATTGAATTATCATTCTGCCCAGTGCCATTATGTATGTGACAAACCTCCCATGTGGGGTCAGGGATACAGAAATGATTAAAACATGGTTCCTGCCTCCCAGGAACTCACAACTTAGCCCAGAGTGTGCCAGCTATAAATTAGAATAGTGGTATAAATGTACTTATTATTTTTGTATGTATATGGATACATGAGTACATATATAGACACGAATGTATATATGCACATGTGTGTAGGCATGTATACGTGTGTCTGTGTGTGTGTGTGTGTGTGTGTGTGTGTGTGTGTGTGTGAATGATAAGCCTTCACTGAAAGCAACTCAGAATTAAAATGTGCTGGAAATCCAGCCCTAAGACATGAACAGGAAGAGAAGGCAGTTCAGCAGCAATTAAGGAATTCTCCAGAGGATGCTGGAAATGTGGCCCTTCAACTGTCCATCAAGAAGATGTCATTGATTTCCAAAGAGCAAATCAAGAATATCAGATCCCGACATTTCCAAAACCACACAATCCCTAATGCAGCCCAAGCGGGGAGTAGCGGCCAGGAAGCTGGGAAGCCAGGCCTCCTGTGTGTGCACAGCCAGACCCCGGGCGGGTGCCAGAGGGAGCCACAGAGAAGACACCGGCTCCTGAGCCAAAACCCAAGAAGGGAAGTGCTCACAGGACACAGCAGGGAGAGAGCACCATCAAGAGAGCGAGCAGTTCTAGAAACCACCACTCAGAGAGACACGAGTGAGAAAGATGTCTCAGCCGTGCAGTAAAGACCTAAACCAAGCCAAAACCAGCTTCCCAAGCCCCCTGCAGATCCTGACTTCAGACAGATCCAAATCTCCGCGGCCTGCAGAGCCCCTGCAGCTGCTCCCCACTGACCAGAGTGAGCAGGCTCACGGGCGAGGGGCCCGGCAGACCCGCCTTCCCCTCGCAGCCCTGGACGGGGTGAGATGGTGGGAGATGATGCCAGGTGGAGGAGTGACCCACCTCGGGATCCTCAGGAAAGATGTTGTCAACCAGCCTTTTGTACCTGGGGCGTAGAGCGCCGCAGCAGCCACAGACACCTAGAACAGCAAGAAGAAAAACCCATGAATGTGGCCTCCTGGGAACCAGGCCAAGGCGGCCGGGAAACAGAAAAATCCCGTCCCTCCAGTGCCGAGCGCCGGGGGCCCTGGAGTGGTCATCTCCCACGACTTGCCTCATGCTACACCTTTGCCTTTGTGCTTTGCGTCCTTCGCTTCGGGGTCAAGCCCGGCAGCGTGTGTGGGCATGAAGCCGGGCCATGGAGGGGCACTTTGAGGGCTGGGAGCTCACCCAAAGGTGAGGTGCTACCCCTGGACAGACGTGCGCCTGCGCGCGCGCACACACACACTCGGGGGCAGGACTATAAACCTGCCTCCTGCAGCCCAAGAGCCTCCCCAGTGTCCTGGGAAGATGCACAGCTTGAGGAGTGCTTGTTCCTCCCACCCACCCCCACAGACACCCCACTTCTTTTATTCTCTGCTTCTCAATATCTGCTACCTTCCCGTTCCCTGCGGCCATTTCCATTATAGAACGTTATGTGAAATGCTGGTAAATTAACATTACCATTAATTATTAACATTTGAAAATGCATCTTTGATGCAGGGTGACGGTGGTGTTTTAGGGTGGGGTGGGGCCCTAGGGGGCCAGCCCCGCATCCCAGTCCCCCCTGTGCCAGCCCCCTGTGCCAGCCTCCCCCCCCACCCCAGGCTACCCCCCCCATCCCCACCCCACGAGGTGTCCACCAGCCTGTGGCAAAATGAGAGACTGAGAACAATGTGGTACATTTCCAGAAAGCTGAATCTATTGCATGGAGAAGGCTCCCTGACATGACCTCTTTCTGTGTCTTTGGGTGCTGTGAAATGATGGTGTTAGGAAATCAGCGATAATAGACCAAACCCTGGGAAAATAAAAAGCTGACTCTTGCAGGCCCCCCCATAAACTGTCTTTAGACAAAGGACACGGAACCCTCTGGGACCCAGTGCTGTCTCCACCTTCCTCCTGCCCCAGGGATCTTTCCTTCCACATTCCAGCCGCACCTCTCCCTGCCTGGTGCGGGGAATGGGCCCCGAGGGAAGGAGCCGAGGGGAGGGCATCGAAGGGGGCCTGGGAAAGTCCACCCCCCAAAAATAATTGTTCCCTCATCCTTCCAATTAATGCTTAATTCTGCTTGTACAAACTCTCCAGTTGGAATGCAAGTGCACCGTGGAAGGATCAAGGCCATGGACCATTCAGAAAATAATGAATTACTTTAGTGGGAATTACTTGAATCTCACAAAGAGCTTTACAGCTGCAGAGAAAAGCGGCTCTCTGGGAATTTTGACTGGGAGGGGGTAGCGGGCGGCTGTGCCAGGAGGAGGAAGGAGCAGAGATTTGGTGTGACTCGGTACAAGGGAATGGGTGCTATCTGGGAGAAGCCCGGGGGCACGCCACAGGAGGACAGGCCACCCGGTAACTGGCTCACATCACCTCTCGCCCCCCTCACAGGCAGCTGCGCACCCCCAGCCTTCCCCCTGCCCTGCGGAGGGCCGCAGACCTGGTCAATGGCTGCAGTCAGGCCCTCTGCACTCAGTCTCGTTGGGTTGGCTTGACGTCTCCTCCTCTCCTCTCTGTCCACGCCTGGGAGGGGGTGTTCGGGCCCTGGACGCCAGCCTGGGCTAGTTCTCCTGATGGAACCACTCCCAGGGGTGGTGTTCTCTGTCCCAGGTCTCGAAGCCTGGGATTGAAGCCCATCCATCCATCCTCCCCCTTCGGCCACCCCGCCCTCTGCCCAGTGCAGCCGTCAGCACGCTTCTTCCCAAGATGCCCACGGGACATGCCCTCCACTTTCCCGGCAGCCTCCTTCGTCGCTGTCCCCAGACCAGGAGAACCGGCCATTTGTGTCTGAAGGGAGTGAGGACAGAGCATCACAGAGAAGCTGGCACTGCACAGCCCCAGTGCCTGTCCCTTCCTCCAGCGTGTCTGAGAGGCCTAAGGGGCAGGGCCTGCATGGGACAGAGGCCAAGCTTGTTAGAAACCCAGGCTTGTCAGGAAGCACAAGCCCATTTTGGGTACTCAGGGCAGAAAGCTCTGTGCAGGGGCACCAAGGGGGCTAGGGGCTCTTGGTGCTACCCGTGGGGACATGAGCCACCTCCCATAGGCAGCAGGCCTGACTGTATCTCGGTCTAGGGACACGGGCTTGGTTTCTTCCCAGTAAAATCAGGCAGCCTGTTGGTCTCCTGATCTCTTGTGTCTAGAAGGGGTAGGCCTCACGTGCCCCTTCTGTCCAGTGCCTCCTTCTCTAACCCACGGGCCCCTCCCAGGAACATGCCTCTCCCAGCACAGAGTCTGTGAAGAGCCATGGGGCATGGCCCCGGGGAGAACCAGTCTCATTCAAGGCCCCAGGGCACTGTCCCACCAGACAGGGAGCAGTAAGAGAACAAGAGAGGGGAGCGAGTACCCCCTCATCAACAAAGCTGCCACTGTTTTCAGTCCTTCCTGACTTAGGTCCTGGAGCTTTTCCCTGGTCTGTTCTTCCTTTCCGACCTCCTCAGACCCCTTGAGGGCTTGTGAGGCAGAGTGGTCAACAGCACGGCCTTCCTTTTTCTTTTTTTCTTTTTTTAAAAAGATTTTATTTATGTATTTGAGAGAAAGAGAGAATGAGAGAGAGAGCATGTACGTGCAGGAGCTGGGGGAGGGGAGAGGAGCCTGGGCAGACGGAGAAGCAGACTCCCCACTGAGTACAGAGCTGGCCGCGGGACTTGATCCCACGACCCAGAGATCATGACCTGAGCCCAAGGCAGAAGCTTAACTGACTGAGCCACCAAGACACCCCACAGCATGGTTTCTAGTGAAATCCAAGCACTGCCGCTTCCCAGATGTGTGACCTTGAGCAAATAACCACACTGTGTTTGTGAGTGTCCTGGGCTCATGGCACAAGGCTGTTGTGAGGTCTAAGTGAGTTTGTGGCAGCAAATCCTTGAAGCAGGGTGGGGCCTGGTAGCTCCCTGAGAAGGCTCAAGGGTAGTGCCCCCCCCCCCCCCGCATTCCCCAGGCCGGGGGCAGCCGCGTCCTTTCCTCGCTGCCTACAGCTCTGTGCTGGCTGGTACGTCGTAGTGGGGCTTTCCCCACTGACTGCTTGCGCAGTGACAGCATCCAAGGCCGGTGCACATCTGAAGGCCTGAGCAGGGAGACACAAGGCACGCTCCTTCAGATCAAACCTCATTGACCTGTGGGTCTGAAACATGTACTGCTTGCCCGAGGCAGCTCGAGGCACCTGCAAATCACAGTACCTTGACCCCTCCCCGCAGCCAGCGTCCCCAAACCGTAGTGCAAACCCCAGTGCAAATGTGACCTGCCAGGTGCTTCCTCAGCAGAGCAGAGCCAGGTGCTAATGAGACAAAGCAAGTGTCACTGGAGAGAATCCCCAGGACTGGTCCTCGGGAGGTCAGTCATCAGGACAGCACTGGTCATGTGTTGAGACAGGGAAACAGAAGGGACCCCGTGAGAGAAAAAGCTAATTTTTTTTTCCCTTTGCTTCTTTTGGGGCTTCTATTCTTGCTAGGACTTGCGCCCCCACTCCACTTTAGACATGCCTTGTGATGCAAATAGCCTATGTCCTCCTTATAAGAGACAAGGAGCTAATGGATTTCTCTAGGATGGATAACATCTAAGGAAGGACCAGGTGAGAATGACCGGAGGAAGCTTCCATCTGCGTACTCCAGACCCCTGTCAGGGCCCCCTGCGCTAAGGAATAACAACTGGGTCCTTGTCTTTGTTCTAACTGGTTCCTGGACACCTGCGAGGGCAGGTGCACCAGACCACAGTCCTCAGTAAAATCCCACAGACCCCAAAGAAAGACAGACTCCTGCTCCTTTCTTCTCCAGGTCTCCCAGAGGTTCTGTCTGTATCTGCTCTCTCTGTTTCTTCAATAAACTCTGCTTTCGTCTCCCGCTGGCTCCTCCCAAACTGTCAGCGTCACCACAGGGGAAGCAAAGGTGAACTTCAATGAACTGAGGAGTCCATGGGGAGAAAGGGGGGGCTCTGGAGAACAGAGCTGCATTCCCCAAACTGTGTTCCGTGGAACACTGGTTGCCAGATGCTAACAAGCACCCCGCGGAAAAGGGTCTAAGGGCAAATCAGTGCAGGAAACCGTGCATGCCAAATCCCCCGATTTCAGATTCACAGTACAAATTAGCATATTAAAGCCTCTGGTAAGTCATAAGGTAAGGGAATCTGTTGACATTTGTTCAAACCAACATCTCCTCCTTTTTCACAACTACAAATATCACCATGATGAATACTTTTAACACTCTTTTTCCAAGAGCATATGCCTTGGTTTACAAGGCTATAAACGTAGTACATTGGAAATGGTGCTAACTTTAGAGTCTGAAAAGGACTGGGTTCAAGTCCTGGTTCTGTTGCTTTGAACTCTGAGTTCAAGTCCCGGTTCTGCCCTTTTATCTTCGAGACTTCTTCCTCATCAAGACCATAAGAGGAAAAGATTTTCCCTAAGATACAATGCTGTGACGGCAGTCCCAGAATTTGCCACAGATTTCCAGAAAGGAAGAGATCACCCGGAGAGCTAATGGTCAGGGCAGGGCTTCTCAGAAGAGAAGGGACAAGAAGTGGGGTAGGATTCACACTTGAAAAACACAGTGGGTGCTTTCTTCCTCATGTGTCTGGCACAGTGCTAAAAAAAGTGTTAAACCTTTGCAAAAACTCCCCCCCCCCAGGTGGTCCTGTTGTTTTGCCATTTCACAGATGGGTGGACTGAGGCGTCAAAAGGCAAAGTTACCTGCCCAGAGTGGCATAGTTGATAAGCGGCAGACCAGGATTTGAACCCCCCAACACCAGGGGCCACGACGTTAACTACTATACCACAGAGGGGAGGGGATTGCACTGTCACAGAGCTGGGAAAGCCAAGAGCTTGTACAGAAAGAGAAGAACCACCCAGGTGGTGCATCCTAAAGGGAATTGAGTTATGTCACCCCAAAATATGCCTTTTTGACATAAAAATTATTTTGAACTGAAGGCGATCAAGGAGCAGTAAATGCAAAGGTAG